TTCAACCGGAATTTTTAGGTCTAGAAGTAGTGGCTTATGCTGAGGTATGCAGCTTCCACCTGGGATAATTTTGTAATCCTCTATGTTCTTTAGGTTATTGTAATGCACCGCCGAGTAGTCAATTTGTGTTAGACGGTCTTCACTTGAATAGATAATCATGTTCATGCTTTTTGATGTAGTACGTGTTGACTAATGATAGGTTGTACGCTGTGGCGAACTCTGGAATGCATTCGCCTTCTTCATTACATGTGCCGTATCCGTGGTTCCCGTGACACTTTCCCGCACCGTTTCTTTTCTCCCTACATGACCGTTCAGGTCTGCTCCGAGCAGGATTATCTCATCCTGTGGTGTGGATGTGATTGATCGTCAAGCTCTTGCCAGAACATATCCTTTTCTTCCTCCTTGCATCCGGTTTGCAGAGCGTAGGCGGTGACAATTCGAAGGATTTTCCTATCAGTGTCAATCTTTATGCTCATAACTCGATCACTTAATCGGTCAACTGCGGCAATCCTGCTTCTTAGGCTTTCTGAGACAGCTGTATCTACTCCATTGAGACTGCTGCTTGTGCTATCGTAGAGACGCTTGTAGCCATCTTCGATATCGCGTGATTTTCCACCCTTCCATTTTGTTTCCTGTATGCGGGCTATATCCACTCGCCGTCTTCTCAGGAAATCTGCCAATTCTCGATGTCGTCCAGTGAGGGTTCCGACATTGATGGTAGCTAATCGGGGTGCTTCTGAGTTTTCGGATAGTTGCCTTCGAAGAGCTAGCTTTCCTACCCGTCTCCGCTCTTTGTAAGACCGTGCTGTCAACATGATAATATAACATGGAATAGCTGGTCAACTAATTGTTCCACTCTCCGAAATACAACAAAGAGAAACAGGATTGGGACAAGACCCAAAAGACGCAATGACGATTAAGATACTACGATGTTTTTTCTTAATACCTATGAAAGTAAACGCGTATGAATCGTCGGGCGTTCCGCGGCTTAGGCGTTGAAGAATTTGGATTTGAAAGAGTAATAAAGATTAAGTATATGGTGTTGAAAATCATCGTACGAAATACTGAAGAAGGGTATATGTCTAAAGTGTGTCACGGTAAAGGCGACCACCACTTTATCTGAGGTGACTGCATTATGAATAAACTTCTTATAATATTTATCCTGACATTACATAGGCGGAAGGGAGAAAGGTAATGAGAGAGTTGAGGGAGACGGCTGCGAGGTTGCTTTCTTTGGGTAAGGCTGTCTCCTGCGTGAACTGGTGATGCCTACCAACTGCATCGCGACATTTCCTTTGAGAAGCTTGTCCTTGAGCTTATGAAGAACCATAAAAAATTTAATCGTGTGATCTTCTGGTGATAACAGTGGTAGCAATAACATCGCAATTGAGCTTCAATTTGTTGTGAGGATAAGTATCCGAGCTGTTGGAGCAGTTGCGACCTCCGGAGAGATTTGAACTCTTGAGCTTCCTGAGCTGACCGCTATACCACCGACTTCCATGTCTGCATAAAGGCGTCTACTTACCTGATGTGATTATGTATGTGGATAGATTTCT